TGGCCGCTCACGCTGGCTGCTGGCTACACATGGTAGCCCATGGCAACCCACTGCGCCAGGGGCTGCAGCCTGTGCTGTCGCTGGCAACTCACGGCAGCCCAGCTCCAGGTTGAGCTGTTGTTCAGCATCTCAGCTGTAGAGGGCAGTGTCACTGGCCCTCATATGTGGGATCCGAACCAGGGCCCTCTGGCGTCCTAAGCCAGCTCTTAACCAACGCGCCACTCGGCCGGCCTCAGATCTGACGATTCTAATAGTCTACTGTAAGAAAATCTACTCATGATGTCCAAGCTTACTGGGGCTCATAGACTTAAGAAATAAACTGAATTTTCAGGTGGAGAAGCGTTAATAATATTTCCAATGTCATTGTGGAGGCTGTTTTCTAGTTTGAAGATTCATGATTTATGTGTTAAGTTTTAAAGGATGGTGAGAGACTCTTTTCTGTGAAAGTCTCAAAGTACTCTACAAATGATAACTCATTAAACCAAGTGTTTAGCACTTGGCCTCATGCTGACTTTGCTCTCTCATATACAAGCGAGTGGCTTGGGCTGTCAGCATTGAGCTGGTATACAGTGACAGCAAAACTGACAATGCCAGAGGAGAATATATGTAAAACTGCAATTATAGTGGAGAGTGGGGTCTGGGGCCTTAGCTGAAATAAGGCATGGCTTTCTGCATTCATTTTCCCTGGATGGCTCTGTAACCTTGTCAGTCAAAGTGTAGCTCAAGAATCAGTAGGGTCAGCATCACCTGAGAACCTGTTGGAAATGCAGTCTCAGCTCCAACCCCAGACTTATGAATGCATAGTAAGATCCTCAAGTGATTCCTGTTCACATTAGTTTGAGATGCACCATTCTAAAGAGACTTAAGGGTTTGCAGAGTTTTTTATAACTCAGCCCTCGGGCTTTACCATTTCACAATCTCAGGCAGATGGCTAGTTTTTTAGAAATGGTATCATGGTTACTAGTTGTTGTATTTCTTTCCCCAAGGGGGTGGGTAGAGGTTATAAATGCAGATTCTGGAGTCCATTGCCTGGGTTCACATCCTGGCTCTGGCACTTGTACCTAATTTCCCTGTTTGCTGAGGGCAGCAACAAGGGCAGAGGTGTGCCCCCACCACCCTGCTGATCTGTACTGGGCTGAAACTGAGCTACAGAGAAGTTTTTTGGAGTCTGTGTTTGGGGTTCATTTTTGTCATCAGTGTTACTTGCTAGATTCGTGGTTTCTTGGTCCTAGCTGAACCAGCAATTATTGAAAAGGAGATGGAATTTGGAAAACTTTTAAACTTTAGTAATGTTCTTACTAATGAATAAATTAGGAGACTTGTCAGCACCACTGAAAAAAATGTACAAATATATTTAAAAGTGATGGGAAATCTCACTGAATTCTAACCTACTAACCAGTATTAGGAGCATTTATTTTTCCCAGCCAACTTAACACCTCTGACTTTGTCTACTACAGGGTGCGGCTGGCATTTTATGCTATGTGGGAGCCTATGTCTTTATCATCTATGATGATTATGACCACTTCTTTGAAGACATATACACTCTCATCCCTGCTGTAGTGATCATAGCAGTAGGAGCCCTGCTTTTCATTATTGGGTTAATCGGCTGCTGTGCCACAATCCGGGAAAGCCGTTGTGGACTGGCCACGGTAAGTGCGCGCTCCACAGAGCACATGTGTCATCATACTATGTAGGAATATTTCATTTGTGTTACCTGCTTTGAATGAAGCCTGAAACTCCATAGACTCTTTGGCTTTTATAATTGGAGTAGAATTAGCACGTCTTAAACTTGTAGCAGTTATCTCAGATAATTGTTTTTATCAAGAGAGTATTTAGTGCTACTTTTTCATTTGTATTTAATTTTTGACAATGTTTCCTTACAGTTTGTCATCATCCTACTCCTGGTTTTTGTCACAGAAGTTATTGTAGTGGTTTTGGGATATGTTTACAGAGCAAAGGTAAGTTGTCTATTATGATTTATATGTTTTAAAAGGTGATTTAAGTGTTTCAAGTGAAATAGAACAAATTCATTTTATCAGAGGAAACATTTTCTTTTGCCTTACTTCAATCTAGCCACTACTTTAAAAATCTAAAGTTAATCAAATTGCACATCAAGACTTCTAGTCTCATTTTACATAGCAAAGTGTTAATTCTACTGTTCTAGCTTGTAGGTATAAATTACCTCAGAATGAGCTACAGATGAATAATTGGTCAGCTGAGAAGTTTGTTCAAATTTCCTCAGCCCATAGATTCCCTATGTGAGAGGAGAAATAAAAGTTTTCTGATTTCTTTTTCAGAAGAACTAAATTGAGGATTTTATTTTCCATTGCTTCTTTAAAAAAATGCCTTGTCCTGGACATAGGACAAGACAGCTGTGAGCTGTTGACCCCACCTCCCACCCCGTCCTGAGGAACAAGGTGTGCTGCCAACTCCAGCACCCAAGCTGCTCTTGCCAGCCTCTCCCTTCTTGCCCCTTTCCTCTTCCTGATCATTTCCTCTTCTTTTGTTTTCCCCTTTCCTTTCTATTTTGCCTGCTTTTGCTTTCCGCCTACAGTACCATTTAAGGCTAAATAGACTACTTTAAATTAATTAATTTGGGCATAACTTTAGAGTCATGGTAAAGGCATATAGAGTCACTCTCGTGGTAAGTTACGGTTTTAGATCAAGGCATGATATGCCAATTTAATGTTCAAATCATTGATACATAACGTACCAGGCAACTGTGCTAAAAAAAAAGAATGCAATGTGTTATGCCCCACACCTATGATCTGGTTATCAATGTTATAGTCTGCTCACATCACTGATATAATTACTAGGTAAGTCTAATCATCTTGGAAGGATAAGGTAAATCGGGTAAAAGCAAACTTTATTAAATGAAACTTGCTTGCCACTTTAGTAGTTTGAAGAGTTTGGAAATAAACTCTCATTCATATTGATATTCAAATGTCTCATTCATATTGAACTGCAGCTTTTTGTAGCGTCAATCCTAGGGACTGATTTTTTTTAAACCTTCTGAATCCTTTTGCATATTTAGGCAAGTCTAATAACTTGTCCCAAAAGTATCTTGGGGGGGTTTTAAAGTCATTTATTTTTATCTCCTTTAGGAAAGGAAAATGAGTAGGTCTTCTGAGAATACACTGAAAACTTATTTTAAAAAGAAGGCAATCATTTTTAATTTAGGACATCTATCTCAAGGCTCAGCTGCTTTCTCCAAACTCCTGCGTGGAGTGTTAGCCTGCCATCCTACATCTCTAAATGCTTTTAACCTATGTGATAGAAAATGTCTGACTATTTACTTGAACTTGTCTAGGGGTAGGATGGGAGAAGACGTTTTTCCTTATAAGAAATTTATAGACATACTGGCAACTTAGCAAGCATGCCATTTAGGTATTTTAGCTGGAGCCATGACTATTACTGTCCTACCAGTCTTGTAGAGGGACTGAATGCTTTGTTTTGATTCAGGTGGAGAATGAGGTTGACCGCAGCATTCAGAAAGTATATAAGACCTACAATGGAACCCACCCTGACGCTGCAAGCCGGGCTATTGATTCTGTACAGAGACAGGTGAGCTCTTTCCAGGCGAGTTTGTGTTTGAGGGTCAACATGAAACTTACTCTGCTATTACTATGGAAATTAGCCATGAACCTTCACAGCCATGGTTAGCTCCATGATGTGTCCAATATTTTTATCTTCACCCTTGGAAAGTTTTTTTTATCCCCTAGTCAAAGCCAGATAAGAAGCATCCGACTTTTCCCCAAAAAATTAATTAGCCAGAGAGGTGATAATGGAAAAGAGTTATGTGTCACAGGGAAGGTAGGGGCCCAGAGGGACTTAGGTCGGAAGTGTTCTGCATATACTTTTAGAAAGCAAGATCAGAAAAGGCAACAAATAAAACTGTAAAAAAAAAAAATATGGACAATTTGAAACATACATGGAGACAGCAGATTTCTGTGCCCATAGATCCACCTCAAAAATTGTCAGCTTTTTGTCAATCTTGTTTCTTCTATTACCCCCATATATCTTTTGCTAGATTATCTTGAAGCAAATCCCAGACATTTTAGACGAAATATTTTAAATACTGTGTCATTGGAAATTATACAAAGGGTGCCAGAAAAATACATACACATTTTAAGAAAGGAAAAAACTATATTAAGATTGTAATAATATATACCGATAACAAAAGATGAATACAAGTCATGTGTATACATATTTTTGGCACCTCTATATTTAAGAACCAGGTATTTCACATATAAGATAGCAGATCTTTCTTAGTTGTAGACCGCCTCTTGGGGCAGTGTGCTTTTCACATGGAGGGTCCAGGGCCATGAGCCTGTGTGGCTGTCAGATTAAAGCTAACCATCCCGTCACATGGTCACACCAGCCTCAGTGTAAGTGCTCAGCAGCCTTGTGTGGCTGTGGCTATCATGTTGGACATGCAGACACAGCGTTTTTGTTATTGCAGAAAGTTCTAGAGTAGCTTAGAGCTCTGCAGCGCACACAGCTCTGAAGTCCAACACAAGTGTGTTTGGTTAGGAATAATTTCTCTGCTCTCTGCTCTATAGTTGCACTGTTGTGGAATTCACAACTACTCAGACTGGGAAAATACAGACTGGTTCAAAGAAACCAAAAACCAGAGTGTCCCTCTCAGTTGCTGCCGAGAGACCGCCGGCAGCTGTAACGGCAGCCTGGCCCATCCCTCCAACCTCTACGCTGAGGTAAGTGTAGTTCCTTGGTCAAAACCTGAATGTTCCTGGTAACCTGTTTTTCTGTGGGATTCATCTCTACCTGGAACTTATCTTCTACCCTCTTTTGCTTGTCTTTTTTTGTTTTAAACCATCTTCATCATTTTCAAGTGTACAGCTCACTGGTACTGAGTATATTCACATTTTGTGCAACCATCAGCACCCCCGTCTCCAGAACTCTTCCCCTCTTGTATACTGGAGTTCTGTACCCACTGAATCACAACTCTCCACTCTCCCCACCCCCAGCAACCACCATTCTACTTGCTGTCTCTATGAATTTGACTATTTTAGGTACCTCAGATAAAGAATCATACAATACTTGTCCTTTTGTGTCTGGCATATTTTACTCAGCATGACGTCTTTAAGAGTCATCCATGTTGTAGCATGAGTCAGAATTTCATTGTATGGATAGACCGACTTTGCTTGTCCATTCATCTGTGGGTTGCTCCCCCCTTGGCTATTGTCACTAATGCTGCTATGAACATGAGTGTGCACATATCCTTTTGAGTCCCTGCTTTCAATGCTTTTTTTAAGGATTTGAATTTTGTTATGTATAGACTGTAGTTATGTCTTTTTTTAATAAAAATTTTATTTTTTAATTACAGTTGACATTCAATATTATATTAGTTTCAGGTGTACAGCGTAGTGGTTAGACATTTGTATACCTTACAAACTGATCCCTCTGACTAGTCTAGTACCTGCCTGACACCTTACGTAGCTATTACAATATTATTATTTATTATTTTTTTTTAAGGATTTTATTGGGGAGTTAGGGGAGGGGAAGGGGAACAGACAAGTTGCTGTCCTTTTTGTTCTTCAGTCTAGTTGTGGAGGACGCTGCTTCACTGGCCCATGTTGGTATTATCATTGCACTCTTCCCAGGTGAGGCAGATTGGTCGCTGGCCTCTGGACGGCCGCTCACAGCAGCTCACTGCAGCAGGGGCTGCAGCCTACACCATCACCGGCGACTCACGGCAGCCCAGCTCCAGGNGTGGGGCATTTGGAAGTTACAGTTTTCTGTTGTTAAGGGTGTCTGAGGAGTAATGGAGCCTGAGGCTGAAAAGCCAGGAGCAACAGCTTAATTCATCCTGGTTTTATTTATTCATTCATTTGAGAATTTTTAGAAGAGTTTATTTGAGCCAAACTGAAGACATGCTAGGGAGCAAGATCTCAACTGCTCCCTAGTTCATCCTTATTTTAAACAAGCTAACACCTTGATCTGGTTTGTATTTTTAACAAAAATAACTGATTATATAAAGAAGCTATCAAGGGATGGGAGGGTCAGCAAGTGAGGATTAGGGTGAGGCCCAAGTTAAGACAAGCAGCTGCAATGGGAGTAAAGAGAAATTCAGATAGTCAAGCAATCTTTTGGAACTACTAAACCTGAAGGAGCTGGTGATTGATGGGATATAGAGGTAGGGCAAGGAAGGACTATAGAGTAACTCAGGCATTTGACTAGAACAGGGGTCGGCAAACTGCGGCTTGCAAGCCACATGCAGCTCTTGGGGTACATTCCGTCTCAAAAGTGTGCCGACCCCTGGAAGAGCCAATCCTGTCCCTCACAACAATTTAAAAATTATTCGAGAGCCATAAATATATTTTTACATAATCACAATTATGTGAATAATACCTTTTAAAAATTTTATAAATGAAACTATGATAGTTTTATTTTCATTTTCAATTTTACTTCAGAGCCTGTGGCTTGTGTGCCGCAGTTTGCTGACCCCTGGCAGCTCTTCCATCTCAAAAGTTTGCCGACCCCTGGACTAGAAAAATTTCATGTCTGGTGCCTTTGCTGTGACAGGAATATAAGGATAGATGGGGCGGGCAGGAAGGCAGACAGGGTTTGGGGTAGGTTGAGGATGAAGGGCCTGTGAGACTTCCAGCTGAGACTGGACTGGGCCTTGGTAGTGAGCTGCAGTGACTAGGGAAGCCAGGGCTACAGTAGCCGAGGGTAGCCTACAATTGGGAAATGAACAGGGCCGACCAAATGAAGCCTGGAGATCTCTGGTAAAGATGAGTCCTGGGGAGAATGAGACTGAGCAGTGAGAGAAATAGAAGAAAACCAGTGGTGGGGCAGATTCCAAGGAAGCCAGAGGAGGAAGCTTAAACATAATGTACTTTTAAAAATTGCCTCCGTTATTCTAGTTATCGTCTCTTTTTTAAAAGTCCATGTTATTTAAAAACAAAAACAAAAAACAAAAAAAAAGCACGAAAAAACAAGTTACTTTCTCAATTTTACAAAAATGTAGTCTTTTTCTTCCAGATCTGACGATTCTTTTTTTTTTTTTTTAAAGATTTTTATTGGGTAATTAGGGGATTGGAACAGTGCTGAGGAATTGGGGGAAGGGGAACAGACAAGTTGCTGTCCTTTTTGTTCTTCAGTCTAGTTGTGGAGGACGTTGCTTCACTGGCCCAAGTTGG